GGGGGGGGGGCGTCACCATGAAGCTGACCCTTGATGTGTGGTCCGCTGTAAATACCCACGGTGCGCACCTGCGCGCGTGCGCGTGCACGGCTGGTGCCGTCACCAACGCAGGCGCAGGACGCAAACGCGCGGCTGTGCGCATCCAGGAGCAGTCACTCCGCGCGTTTCCTGGGAGAGCCTCCATGCGCCCCAGCGGAAGGGCACAAATCAACTAGGAAACTTCTGGAAGCCCCTTTACCCACCCGCTGGCTGGATGCTGATTGCAACTGTAAAGCCCCAGAGATCCCCAGCCCGGAGGGGAAGGGGGGAGGCTCCTTTCTCTTGCCACCCCCAAGGACGGAGTACTCCCGACCCAGAGGGTTTGGGATAATCCTCAGGCATGGGGAAAAAGAAAAAAAGAAAGAAAAAAATCAAAGCTCCCATGTCCTTCCGTCGCCAGACGCCGTCATACAAGGACTTTATGCATCTGGGGCACTGATGCACTCACGTTTACTCTCGAATTGACCTTGGCACCTTGCGTGCGGGCTGGAAGGATGCGCGCGCTCTTTCAGCCCAAGCGCCTCCTGTTTGCAAGACAGACCGGCTCTAGGTTTCGTGCGATGCGTTCCAAAGGCGCGTGGGCGGCAGTCGCGTCCCCAACAGCAGGGAGAGAGGTGTTTTGTGCCTTTCCCACGGGCGTCTCTGCCCCCTTGTGCCCCCATGCGCTTTGTGGGCGTGGTTCTTTCTGAGCCTTGCAACGCCGGCCGGCAGCTTCAGCCCTGCCCGTGGCTGTTTGTGTGTGTGTCTGTGCGATGCTTCCAAGGGCTGGTTTCTCCACCGTGTTTCTCAGGATGCGAATAAGGCCCCCGCACCCTTCCAAGCCCTGCTTGTACAGAATACCAGGGGCCTGCATGTACCCAGAGTGATTTAATGGGAATCCGGGGCAAGGGACCCTTCCGTTCTGTCTTTTAAACTCGGCACCGTGAGGCCCCCCCCCCCCCATTTAAAAACAAAACAAAACAAAACAAAACAAAAAAACTACCACTGGGTACTTATGGGTCGCTGTGGCTCAACAGGCAAGCTGCTGGCGACATTGTGCAGGGCCCCGGCTTCTGAGAGCGTCACGGTCGATCACCAACCGGGATTGGTCCGTGTCCTCTGGGAGGTGACTCCCCCCCCCCCCCCCCCCC